GTAAAGGGAGAACTACCGCGATTGTGTACTGGTTCGTCCCGATGAGCACCTCTGTAGAGAAAGTCGAAAACTGACTGTCATGATGCGGCGAGAGCTGGTCAACCACTCGATGACTCATCGGAATCTTCGCGATTCCTTCCGTATTACACGAAGGACCGTTCTTCCGGTCACGTATGTCAACGCATCGTATTTGGATCGCGTACATACCAGGGGCTATCTCGTAGACCCACCGTCAAACTCCTATGGCTAAGTGAAAGTGTTAAAGCCCTATAGTCCGATTGTCTGGTTCGCCGCATTGACACCTCCTTAATGGACCAAGACGTAGGGTCAAGAGTGATCAAGTGCTTTTCCAAACACCCCCGCATTCTACGTGAGGGGGCAGAAGTCAACGACTGGCAAACTTTCAGATTATACAAAAAACGACCGCACAGGAGGCACCAAAAACTTTTTAGGCAAAAGTATAAAAAACATAGCCTTAAATATATCATAATATTGTTTTTACAATATCGAACCACCTCACTCGAACATAATATCTTTCGAGCACTGACCCTCTATCATGCGAGCACCCTCTAGGACATCCTCAAAATAATGCTCTGGCATGCGATGGTCCTTACCCTCGGGTGGACTATTCGCTGCAAAATCAGTGGCCTTCATCTTCGCCCAGTACGTCTTGACGCGGGCAAGGGTCATCCATGCACCTTCTATGCACGTTGATCGCTTAACAGCGTCGATACGCAGCACCGCATCAAAAAGTCACCACACCAAACCGAAATAACTATTCGGAATTGGCTCAGTCAGCCACAGCCGGGCTACGACGTCCTTCATGGCAGATCGGGATAGCTTGTGGAGCTCGGCCCATAGGGCCACATGTTGTTCAGCAACAGTGGACGCTTTGGCATGCTGAATTGTGACCAGAAAAGCTTTTCTGTCGTGTGTCCTTCTTGCGCTTGGAAAAACTGCGTCGCATTGGAGACACTCTTCGGCAAGTCCAAAAATGCGTCTAGAGAACTCCACATCTGATTAAGCGGGGCATACTTTGGATCACCGAATTTAGTTTGTAATAAGAAGGGCTTACCGGCCGCGATCTCCCCAGCTTGTCGGATCTCCTCCCAAGCCGCTCTAGACTCGGACCGTGCTTCACTTGCCTCTTGTAAGGCCTTGTCAAGATCAGCCGCCCTGGTTTTGTTATCTTTCTTGAGAAAGTCGCATTGGCTAGTAGCACCCTTTAGCTCAAGCGCCGTGGTATATATTCTCTCCTCGCACTAGCGCCGAGCAGCCTGTTCGGCCTTTAATTCAGTAGCTTCCTTCTCGGCAGCCGCATTGCTCATCCTGGCCTGCTCCTTGGCTCGGGCAAGCTCAACCCGAAGGGTCTCAACTGCGGCGGCACTATCTGCAGTTATGCATATCTCAGTATACAATTCTCAATGTCATGCTCATACTATAGTACTTGCATATACTGAGTGCCCCAAAGAACATACCTTGTGCCTCGTCGAGCCGTCTATTAATAAGCATGATATCATCACCCGCCACATCAACTTTTTGCTTCAGATCTGCAATCTCTGTAGCTTGGGCAGTCGCCATGGATGTAACAGCCTGTGTTACATTTAGTCAGATTATTTTCTGGGCATATCTTTCTTGATCCTCTGATCGCCTCCCTTTGGACGCCACCCAGAGTCTCATGGGCTACTATCTATACACAGGCGCATTTTCCGCTTATAGCACAATTGAAAATATTACATTACGTACCTTAGAGCCTCTTAGCAGGCTCGTAAAGGCTTCATTCAATCCGCTTTTCATGGACCGAACCCTCTCAACCACCATACCCATCAAGGTATGATGTTCCTCTGAGACGGAAGCATGTCGCAATGTGTCCATCAATGTATCCGGCGCCTTCGGGTCCGGAGCAGATTGTGCCGTCCCTCGGAAATTGGATAGTCCGGGGCCTTTAATGATGGTCCCCGTAGGGGCCGCACACCCCAGACCCTGGACGGCCGAAGTGTCACCTTCGGGCCCGGTCTTCATTGTCCCTCGCATCGCTTGTTGATCGGGAGAGATCCTCCAGGACGACACCTCAACGTCGTCCTCCTTATCGGGCAGGAAGATCTGTGGAGGCGCCTCGCTCTCCATCATTTCCGGAAGAAGATCCCCCGACGAGGAGGACTGTTGAGGAAGGTTGCATGCCAGACTGCAAACATATATTTTAAATGCTACCCTTGCAACCAGGAAAGAACGGCATATGTTTAAAACACCCTTGTTCACTTACGATTCAGCTAAGGGCCTATCTTTACAGAGGGACTACGTGTCAACGTCACCTCCCGAACTGTTGGATCACGCGGTACGCTATGCTAGCACCAAATAAAATTTTCTACCGCGCACCCAAGATCATGCTGCTGGAAATAGATCACGGGATCGGATTTACCACTAGACGCGCAGTCACCACAGCGGAAGTAGAGTTGGTGATGCGTGTAGCCGATCTCCCGAGCCGTCTCCTCCTCGCGTCGTCGATCTCCCGCGAACAGCGAAGACCTGTGAATGGTGATCTCCCGCGGACGGCGCCTTGCGGTTCCCTTGAACGATTCGTCCAAGCACCGCAGATGCGATGCCTCCAAGGTATCCGCACGTGCGGGGTGCAGCGGCGGGCGGCAGACTGCTAGGTCCGGTCGCACGTCATTGGCGTGGGGAATGGCGGCGGCTATCGAGGGTTGGATCAAGATCAACCCTAAGAGGTGCGCCCACTCCCCTTTATATAGACCTCCAAGGTGGGCTCAACACTTGATCCCACTAAGAGTCTGCGTCCATTTTCCACTCGGATCCAATCCGAATGGGCAGCAGCCCCTTAAGTGTGTGACCCTATAGGTTCACATACACATGGACACGACCAAGTCGATAGTTGGTGGCGGCTCCTAGCAGAACATGCCAACTCCCATGTGTGCATAAAGTCGTTTGACGAACCTCGACAATGCGTCATATGCAACATTCCTTTTGCCTCATGATATTCGTTATCGAGCTCAAGGCGAGTACTTGTCACCCTTCTGATAGCTCGACCTCTCTTCTCGAAACCGTGATACAGATTCCCGAACTGGGTTAACACTTAACCCAAGACGCATGGCCATGCTTTCTCAATCTAATCACTCAAGAGGGCCCAGAGAATATATCTCCAAATAGGAGGGGCAAATCCCATCTTGGTCAACCATGTCTCGCGGCATGTCTCACGACTCACCTGAAATCTACCTTTATAACTACCCAGTTACAGAGTAGCGTTTGATAGACCCTAAGTGAATCGATCCTCATCCCGAGAACATGTGAGGACCTCAGGTCTAGGACATGGAATAGACATTGTACTTGAGACTAACAGATGACAATCTCTCGTTGCGTCTCAAAGTGGGTCTGTACGACTCGATGATCTCCATCCCCGAGTCCAAACTATCGGTTTAGCATCTCCATGCACATGACTTGTGAAACATAGTCATCAACCGAGTTGTATACTAGTCAAGGATATGTGTTCGCATAACCATATCAACTAGGGACCACTAGAACAATCATCATACAATACATAGTTCCACAAATAAGTCACATACTTACTGATACATATCATTGATGATGTTCAAGGACAATACAAAGGACTCATGAATACGTATGGAAATATCATCATCACATGATTGCCTCTAGGGCATATCTCCAACACGAACCGGAACCCCCTGACAGGGATATCTTCCCCCGCTTAGAAGCCTTTATCTTCAAGTCTTTGGAGGCGGTCCTCTTCATCCCATGAGAAGAAGGGATGTAAGTTTTTCCTTCCCTTCCATATTCAGAAGAGGGAGTTCCAATCTCCCCGGACAAGGTGTCTGGTGTGCCTCCAGAATGGGGGCCACCTTGGGCCTTTTTTATCTCCTCCTTGTCTTCCCTCGCCGGCACTTGATATGGTGTTGGAGCCAGCATCCTTGTTAACACCGGATCAGCTGAGTCTTCGAGAAGAGGGAACGAACACCTAATTCTCTCCGCCTTCTTTATCCATCCCTGACCGAGTATGATTTTCTCAGTATATTGTATGAGGAATTTGACTAAACTGTGTTCGGGAGTCGAGTGCTTACCTGAGGTATCCGCATGGTTGCAGTCAAGGCCAATGTCCTCTGTAGTATACGGCCACTGTTTTCGTGTCCCGAAGAATAATTTTCACGTTCCTTTGAGCGTCGTGCCGGAGAAGTGTTGAAACTACTGGAATCTGGCACTTTGCCATCTGCCATGGCAGATGGCAAAGGCATGGTCGGCGGATGGCAAAGGCTTTGCCATCTGCCAGCAGATGGCAAACAGGTCGTCCGAAACCCTGCCGGTAAAGGCTTCTTTGCCGTCTGCTGGCTGATGGCAAAGAGCCTGTGGCTTTGCCATCCGCTGACAGATGGCAAAGCCTCTTAACGGGGTTAGCCCCGTTAGAAGGCTAACGGCATACTTTGCCATCTGCTAGCAGATGGCAAAGGCTGCAGGCTCTTTGCCGTCTACCAGCAGATGGCAAAGGCTGCATGCTTTGCCGTCTGCCAGCAGATGGCAAAG